TTTTTTAGAGACAGGGTTTCTCTGCGTAGCCCTGGTTGTCCTGGAACTCATTCTGTAAACCAGGCTGGCCTCAAACTCAGAGATCCAACTGCCTCCTCCTCCCCAGCACTGGGATTAAAGATGTGCATCACCACCACCTGGCTGAACCTATTTTTCAAAACTGTCAATCTCTAGCTTTAAAAGAAAATGAGATGTCATATTTTGCCATAAACTTGCCTTTTTGACTAATAAGCAAGGCTCCACACAATCTATAGATCAAAAGCAAACCATTAATTAAATTTAACAGGTACAAGACCTTACCTTTCGTTTCTTCCCCCACCAAAGCAAAAACGTACAAAGTACAGTCAACCTATAGCCATACTGACAGCTCATGATCAAAAAAATCAGATGAGCTTTGGGAATTCTCACAAGTATTCTCACAAAATATTCACAAGTATTGTTTAAAGTCAATCATAACTGCCATATAAACAAGCATCTGCACCTCCACTGACTCTACCAAGCACTTGATGGCTGTGCTAACCATGAGAATCTACACAAGGTTTTGCATGTGATTCGACTCTGGACACAGAACTCATTGAGATATGTTAATGTCCGAAAACACCCTTTTTATCACATAAGTTCTGAATAGACTTAAAAACAAGCACAACCTGTGGGGTAATGTTGCAGAATTTAGAGCTAGGTTTTTATTGTCTCTACCAAGTTTGACACAAACAAATCAACTTTCTAATAATCATGTTAAACCTGCAAGTTACAGTCCAGCTCCAAGTCAAATATTTGCAATTTTTCATCCTAAATTTGAATAAACAAAGAAATACATCAAATCTCTAAGTGTGGTCATATGTTACAAGGATCTCCACTCTGACAAGCTCCTAATCCCACTACTCACTGAGTTCCTGATGTGCACAGAGACCAGGAACTGTGCTGGGAATTTGCATACTTTATCTCTAATCATCACAAGAATCTCATTGTACTGACTAGGAAACTGAGGCACAAAGAATCAAGGTGATTAGTCCAATGCCATAAGGCAGTAAACAGTGGGACTGGAAGGTCAGGTTCCAAGGAACTCTTCCTTTAGCTAAAATCACCAAACACAGTCCCAGATCACCCCATCAAAGTCAACACACACAAAAACAAGAGCTAAGAAAAACACCTAAAACAGTGGCACACAACCCAGGAATTACCAAGGACACGCAGTCACCTACTCCACAAGAACTAGTTTCAAAGACTATTTGTTCAAACTCCAAGACAATCCACTCTTTCCTCCCCCACTTTCTGGTTATCTTTCAACTGGCTTTTTAGAACAAGAGAAAGAACTCAAAATCATCAAAAACCTATGAGAAAAGAGACAAAGGTAAATATAGTTCACATTATACTTTAGTTCTTCAATAGGCTTCAGACATGTAAACCTACTAACACATCAGTAACCCTACTAACCTCTATACACACACACACACACACACGTGTATATATATATGCAGATATGTATAATACAGATTTGAAAAGTATTTTCTTACCACACTACAAGCTTACTCCCCAAACTTAGTGCACAAATAGGAACCACTCTGGGTGTCTGGAAGCAGATCTTGAGGCATCAGTTCCAGAGAGGAGCTGCTGGTCTGAAACCTCCTAAGGAAGGCTGTCTGAAGAGAAGTGCTGAAGAAACCGAAGCTGCTAGTCCTAATGAGGGTGAGCTGTTGGCATCACTACTCCTCTGTCTGTCTCACTGCTGCGCTGAGCAATTGTTTCCCTGCATCCATGACCTGAACCTGGCAAGCAGAGAGGATGCTGTCCTCATAGCCCTAAATGTTACCTGACCAGCACACTGCTCCCTGAGATTCCAGTGATCCTCCCCTAACATTACATTCACTGATTGGGGGGGTGGGGAGGGCTGTTAAACATATTTGAAACTTTGAAGTCCTTTGAGTTTAGAATAGGCAAATAATTCAGATGATAAAAACTACAGGCGTGCCACCAACAAAAAAATAACCTGTAATATAAGTCACTTCAGTCATGCACATTAGGTAATATTAGGTAATAAAAATGCAACATATGCAGCCTCAGCATACTTTCAAACACCACAGAGTACACTGAATAATTATTAGAATAAAGGCTATCCTCCAGGTGTGTGGAACAGGTTCTGTGCAAGATTCCAAGCCTCTCTTGCCTTTCAAAATGCTAGTTAATACCAGGAATTCCTTAAGCTCTCAGAACCCTAATTATTATTTTTAAAGTGAAAACTGTATGCTTCTAGAGACCTGGGAATGTGGTTATTATCACTGCCTATCGCCCACTATTGTAAGCTGGAACATATGTCTCTTGGTTGAATTATGATCCAAAGACAAAAGTGGAATGTAGAGTAATTTAAACACACACACAAACTGACATTTACCAACTGTTATTGACAGAGTAGTGCAAAGTTCATCCTCAGCGCGAGATTCCGAATGTGGAGAGCAAATTTTCCAATTATAACCAAAATTTTCCCATTAAAATGGACGGTTTTGATGGCACCATGAAATCAAATTTAGCAAAGCTGGGAAAAAAATCCTTAACCCTGAGCAGGTGCTCTACCATGGAGCAACAAAGAGATCAGCCTCAATCTTTAAGTACCGTATAGTCCCATAGGGCCACTATAGAACATACAACACATTTGACTACATTTGCTACATTTAGACTATGCCATGAAGATAAAGGATCAATTGGTCAACTCTAGATTATTTTGGCTCTAGTTTTAACTTCTGAATGATTCTCACCCATCTCGCTCTTCACAGGAAGACAGAGGAAAATATCTTCTAATTCCTAACTGCTCTTATTTACCCAAAGAACAAATCACAATAATAAGCCACCTGGAGAAATGGCTCAGTAGTTAAGAGCACTTGTTGCTCTTACAGAGGACCCAGGTTCTATTCCCAGCACGCATGGTGGCTCACAACCATCCTTAACTCTAGTTCCAGGGCTTCCACCCGCCTCTTTCACTCTCTTCTGACCTCTGTGGACACCAGGCACACATGTGGTACACATACATGCAAGTAAAGTATGCATACAAATAAAATTTAAAAACTGACAATGATACATATGAAAGCTTCTTTGCTCTTTAGTACAGAGCCAAAGTCAGTCTAATGCTCAACAGAAACAAAACACAATCTCAAACTGCTTTCACTTTTGCATAACATAGATCTTAACTTGAGGCTCCAGGACCAGCTTCAAGATGACTGTTTAGTTGCATACAAAGCCCTATGTTACATAGTGTTTCACTGCAGAGAGGGCCCTGAAGACTTCCACCGCCCCAGTAAAGAGTTTAGGATCACAAAACTTGGCGGTGAATCTTTTATACTGAAGACAGTATCTGTGTGAACACATGTGTACAGTGAAGATACAAATAAGCAAGCCGTTGACACAAGGCGACTTACCCACCACACACCAGCCCCCCTGGGGAACATCAACTGCCTCAGCCCTCAGCACACGTTCGAACAACTGGCAGCTTTCCTTTCCTAAGCCAACATACATGCTATCAACAAAGCGTGTGTTCTTTGCCAGTCTCAGAACAATACGGATCAGACCATCCTCTGGAAAAAGAGAATATAGACCTTCACCCCAAAAGATTACACTACTTACACAGGCTATGCCTTGTTACGTTAAACGTTGCAACAAAAAACAAAACCAAAAGAAAAAAAAAAATGGAAATAACTGGTGCGGTAAGTATCTAATTAACTGGAGGGGGAGGGGGGGGGACAGGAGAGCACCGCTCAGGTGATACTGAGAGTGTGCTGGCAAAACATATAAGGGAAATACCACGACGATGCTTAAACATGGGTATGATCCAGGGGCAACCAAAGAGTGGTTGACAGAGGAACATCCTGTAGCTTGGTTGTGGAAAACATCTTCCTCCAAAGGCACATTCCTTTGATGGGCACAAGCCATTTCTGACAATGGATCCGCGATGACAGGGGCCGTTCTGTAATCAGGAAGTGCGCGAGTGTGCGTGTGCATATGTGTGTGCTCGCGCGTGTTCGTGATATTGTTGTTGGGGGAGGGATGAGCTAGATGTAATCACAGACTGGCCCGCTTCAAAGAGGAGCATATGGGATCTTAAATCCCCAAGACTGACATCAGGGCGAGGCAGGGACATCTATCATTTCTTCCGGAGACATCCCTCGACAATGATCATGTTTCGTAGAGATGTAACAGGGTGTCACTCTCTTTGGTGTCTCCGACCTGAGACTCTTCAGCAGAGCCTGATTGGAGGGGAGGACGAAGTGGGGGTGGAGAAAGGTCTGCATCGCCCACTGGGCTGAGTGTGGTGCTGCCGGTGGCGAGTGTACATACATCACATGCGTGTTATCTTCTAGTGCCACAATACTCCAGAAGGCTGGAGGTTTGGGCGCAACCGCAGGGCGGGGGAGGTAGTGGGTGCAAGACACCAGCTGCAGGGCAGGAGAACGCTTCCCTCCGCCCGCTAACCCGTGCACTCCGGCCACCCCGTCAGGCCTCGAGGCGAGCCGGCTCGCTGCAAAACTGCAGCTAAGCGAGAGTCCCGGAGGGAGGGGGCGGGGGGTAAGAAGCCGGCACCCGCGGCCAAGCCGGGAGCCGCAGACGC